GGGTTGGTCTGAGTTGGTTTTGACTGACAATTGGTTTAAGGTAAATGATTGATCAAAATTACTGGTATCTGTCTTAAATTTGAATGGCGATAATAACAGACACAAAAGTAAATTCCAAAATAATTTAATACTATGAAAACTTAACTAAGCTATCTTGACAACACAGTAAATAATGGGACTATTGCAAGATATTAATGAGAGAAAAATTCCCTCTCTCCAATATTAGCTTAATTAAAATAGTTAAAGTTAACCTATGTAAAATTAACAGTAATTCGTTTTGAAATGATAGATATTTAACGTTGATTAAAACATAAATGGCTTCTTGTTTCGTAATCTTTCCAATCCTTAAGAGCCACTTTCCTAGATGTAAATCAAAATAAAACCAATTGCTTGAGTTTGAGTCAACATAGTTCCCAACGAAATCCATCTGTTATCGCCATACCTCAGTCTGCTTCGGCACTTTAGTAAAATTTTATTTCACAGGCGTTACACCACTTGCTCCCTGATTGATATCTAGCTTCACACGCACACACACACACACATATACATGCTCTATTTATCACGTAGGTCGATAAAACACAGCTAAAAAGCTGACGTGGACCTACAAACTAAAGTGTATCTACAAAATTTAAATAATAATGATAATAGCAAGCTTGTGAATTTATGGTAAGTAAGAAAAGATGTAATACCTAATAAGATAATTTACAGTTAATTGATGTAGTGTTACTGAAAATAAATGAAATAAATGAAAATAGTAAAATATCATTAATATATGTAATTTACAATGTCTTTATTTATTCCCTGTAAACCATTAAATGTTATTTTACCTAAAATGTCGGATTTTGCTTTAACAGCAGATTTAAAAGAAACAGTGTTCGGTTTGCTCTTTAAGTGCATGGGTAAGTTGTTCCTTAGAATAGACGCGTGGTGAGAGAGGTAAGATCAACGGAAGTCACTTTTAGGGCGTTGCACGTATAGTTTCAGACTGTCCCTTAGATTTCTCAAAGGAGAGTGTTAATGAATAGAGAGCTTATACCAGCCGGAGCTCAACTGTATAATGCCTGATAATATTTAGTTGCAATCCTCTTTTTGAAGATGTATGATAAGGACTTCCATTTTGTCGCTGCCAGCTTTCTTTCTCCCTGTATGTACAAAATTTCGAAAAGCCTTTCAGGAATTAACTTTAATTAATTCGAATGTCGATCGGAAAATGGCGATGAGCAGCGATTATCTTGCTTTTCGATCGTTCGACGGTGGTGTAAACAAACTTGAGTTTCTTCATGCAAATTCACAGCTCTCGCCAAACCATAGTTAATAGAGGGGACTGGAGTCCCCTCTATTAACCATGGCCAAACCAAGTGGCAGGGGCTTAGAATTGCCGTAAAAAGCTTCTTTACTGCTCCTTGTTTTACCGACGAACGAACATTTTGCATGAACGGACGAAAAAGTGATCAGAAAAAGCCAACACGACACTGTAAACGTTTACGCAAATTGAGCCAGTTCGCAACCGTATTGAAACTTCGCACTAAAGACCGTTTTTTGGCGCGCGAACAATTTTTGTATAATTTGTACACCCTCTCAATTTTTTTAATTTTTTTTTTTATTTTCAAAAATGAGAATTAAAACCTTTTCTTTTTAACGGCATCCTTAATTTTTCAACTTTTGCAACGGCTGTTTAATTCCCGCAAAATTTATTGAGTCTATATAAGCGCGCTTCTGAGCCCGCGTTTCGTACCGCGGGTCTCTGGCTCACGGGCAGACGTTTTTCATCCCTGTCTTTTCCGCGGCAAAACCTAACGCATGCGTTTAAGTTATTCAGCTCTTTCTTCCGCTTGGTATTTATTATTTTCCGGAACGCATTAATACCTGTCGATGACTTTCGAATACTAAGTTCTGAGTCTTTAACTTGGATGTCGAAATGTCGTTTGTAACGAGTATGATTTTACTCCTAATCAACGTAGCTTCATTCTTCTTCGAGTCAGGTGAGTAAGCTACTGAATGATGCATTCCGCGAATATGTTCCACGGGTACTTCTTGATTGCGCCAAGTATATCGCTCGTTGTTCAGGTGAGATCGAATTATCAATCCTGTTTCCTTCCGCTCTGTAGAGTCCCAGCCTGTTTTTACCAAATGGCCTCCATCTACTTCCTATGTTGTGGAAGGTAACGGGTTATTCTTGCAATGGAACTACACTCTTGGTGGAGCGTTTCGTTCAGCTGAGTTCGATCTGTCAGCGATACCTGAGGCAATAGATATTGCAGATCGTTTCAAATCAGAGGCCACCTTCATACACACAGATTACCAAGGCAGGGTAGAAGCAAACATTACAGCCACACAAGCAAATGTTACTTTCCTTTCGCTGACCAGAGCAGACACTGGGAATTATGTATTTAAAGTAGAACGCGAGGACCGAAAGAAGAATTCTAGTACGATGAAAATAACAGTGCAGTGTAAGTATAGAAAGCAATTGCGATTTTATTTTTTGTTTTCTATGTAGTTTACCTTAAAAGATTTCGAAAATACAGTGGTGTATAGAGAAGCGGCTAAATTTTAGCGATTACATTCATGGTTTGTTTGGGGTGCTTTGTTGTTTTTCCTTTTGAGTACACGCCATCTACAAACTTTTATCGATGTTGGCTTTTTAGCTAAAAGCACTAGTTGATAGCATCCTCATGTCCGTTACAAAATATAGTTGCGTTTTACTCCTTATAACCTGTGAAATTTTAATCATGTAGAAAATTAAATAGCTCGTCAACTGCACAAGAATCTTTCAAAAGCGGAAGATTTTCGGTTCGTTGAGGACAACTTTCGCTTCGAATTATGCAGCACTAAATGTACGCATGTTAAATATTTCCGCCTGGCTTTGTGTTAAATTGTGCGCTCAAAAAATTTCGATAATTACTCCTTTGGTCAAGAAAGAGACTGATAGGGTACTAGTACACCAAAAGTATAAATCATTTTATGTACAAGATGTGCAATGCGGATAAATTTATTCAAGCATCAATGTAAACAGACTGCAAACTGATCATGTGCGCTCAGTTGCGGCGATTGTGTGTTTTTTTCCAAAAAATCTTATATTAGATATTGACTGTTTCAATTAGCGAAAAAACATGTCGATCGAGGTCGGGGTTTTCAAAGGGAGAACGAAACTTAAGTAATATCTAACCTTTGATGACGAGGTCTGGAAAACTCAGTTGTGATAAATTTGCATAACTGCAACATGTTTGATGATTTCATTAGATAGCTATGTAAAGTTTGGAAGGACTTTTGTGTTTATTCGTCTTCTTTCAGCGCTATTAAGGCCTTACGATCTTCAGAATTTAATACTAATATTATTGTTTGGCGGTTTAAAAGCTCGTGTGTGTTTCTTTATGAATTTCAAAAAGCTGAAGTTGTGTTTACAGGCGGCGAGTGGCTGATAATGGTCATTTTTTGTCGCATGAATCATTTATATTGAATCCCATTATTCAAGTTGTTTAGTCACTCCCTAAAATAGTGCTTTGAATGTTATACCTTAGTCATGGCTACCCTATTTGGGTGTTGTGTCTGCGAATAAACAAAAACTACGTTTTTAAAAAAATCTCAATTTTCCATTTGGGGAGAGAAGTTTCTGGTTTTATGCAGATCGAGGACTATGAATTCATCGTTTAAATTACTTTCATTCTCATAAGGCAGTGAAGGATGGCTAATGTTTTTACAGCACAATGCATGCTGATTAAAAAACGAATTAATTCTTCAGACCAAAATGTGATATTTTCCTTTGAGAGCAATGTTTGCAAAATCTTCACATTAATTTTATCACAGAAAAAGTGAGAATTTTTACAATTTGCCAGTGTCAATTGCTCTTGAAAATTTGGAAGGAATTTAATTGCCCTTTCTGGTCATTTATGTGTTTGTTGCTATGGCGTAAACAAAAGCTTGATATTGGTTTGGTGGTAGACATTTGTACTGACTTAGACATGAATTCAAATAATTATGAGTTAATTTTCTTTCTTTTGAGGGACAGTTTGTGTCTAATCTACTTAAAACAGCCAAGATGGAAACATCTTTACATCAGGCACGCAACCACGATAGGTTCAGAACCTCCTTTCCATTGTTTGGAATCATGAAAGCATTTAAAATTGTGCATAGTAATGACCAATTACCACATGGCTGTCTTGAAACATGCCAAAAACTGAATTCCTTGAAAAATTCCTTTGACAGTTTCTCCACTTTTATCTTGGCCTTTGGGAAAATTTTTTTTTTTATCACTCGTTTTTATTATAGTCCTCTTTAGATGCTATATAGCTTTCAGAAAAAGTTCTCTTTGTGTGGATTCACTTCCAGAGACAAATGCATGATTGTGTTTGGAAAGCAAAACCGAAAGTCAACTGAACGTGACAGGACTTTGAACCAATATACTTCCTACATGTGGTTGATGAAACACTCTCGTATCATTACCTGAGGCATATCTCCAATTTTTAAGACCTCTCTGCCCCTATTCCTCACATATTTTACATCTTTGTTTAACACCACGAATCCCAATTTAGATTTTACATTTTACGGAGATGCATATTTCTGGCTGAAGTAATGCGTGGGGATTCTGTTAGATGCTTTTAAACCTTAAGCAACCTCTGTGTAGTCCATCATCATCACCAGAAATTGTAGATCTTCTCCTGCCTTTTATTGGTTTAATAATTAGTTTTGACTACAGCTGTTGTAGTTTACTACTGTGTAACCCCTCATATCCTGGCAAGTACAGACTGTAGGTCTGTGCCTGGTGCTATCCATCAGATAAGTATTAGTTTATTTTCTGAACACTTCTCAACTAAGTAGTGCTTTATCCACTTGATAGTGGATATACTCCTTGGTCAGGCATGTAGCATCAAACAGTAATATTGTTGAATCATATACAAACCAAACCTGCACACAAATTTTTCAATCTTCTGTATTTGTATAATCTAAGTGTTTTTTCTTTCATTTTATTTTGCCATCATGAACCAGTTCATTAAATACTTTAGTTATGCATGTTATGGTGGAAACTTATGACTATTGTTTTTGTTTTTTTTTCCCATGGATTTGGTTAAATATGGAAATTGTGTTAGTAATTTGTTAATGAAGAAGGCCTTTTATGGAAACTACTTTGAGGAAGTGAAAGAGAGCAAATGCTCTTACATCGCATTGTTTAATGACTAAAAGTTATTTTTTTTTCTTAAGACTATTTGGGTCTTGGAAGGAAAACAATGTTTTCTTCATGATGTAATGTCTATCAAAATACTCAATTGTTTCCTTCAAACAGTGATTGTGCAAATTCTCATGATTTTTCCCACCTTGTCTATTTCAAGTATTTATAGATGCTAATGTGCTTAATATTATTTGTGTTTTTGGTTCCTATGATGTAAACAAAAGCTTGATATTGGTGTGATCAACAGAAATCTGCTCTGATTTAGTTCTACATGTACATGTATATTGACAGAAAATAAATTTCTTAATTTTGAAGTTTTTTTCTTAGAAAGGTTGTGTCGAAATTACTTAAATTGATAGAGAAACTGAAGATATCTATAGTCATAAGGGATGCATCTGTGACAGGTTATAGTGCCTCTTTCATCATGCGGAGCTATTAAAACAAATGTTTTTCAAATTAATGACTAATCAACCTCAAGTTGTTTTAAAAAAACTTTAATGTGATCTTAACTCCCACAAAAATATTCCATAATGATTGAAATTACTTACAATTATATTGGTCTTGGGGCATAAATTTTTGGTTTCTTTCAATTCATGGCATGATTCTAGAGCTCTCACAGTATGTGGGAATTGTTTATCTGAGATGTGTAATTTGCATGGCGGTATTTTTTTAAGAACACCTGATATTCAAAAAAATATGCATGAAGGACTTTGAACCAATAATTATGTTATGTGGTTATGACCCATATTCTACCCACTTCATCTCTGCCAATATCTTTCTTGAAGTTAAAAAACACTGTATAATATGCATAAGTTTTATAGATTTGACTACTTGTACAGGAGTATGTTGTGTTTTTTGAAAACTGATTATGAGAGTTGCTGAAATTTTTTTAATTGGATGTTTTGAAATTGTACCAAACCAACCACCAATGTTCTATCCATATCACAGAATATCTTTTCTAATCCACCAGATAAATCTCTTTTTAATTAGCTGCTAAATAATATACTGTTAGTACTGTATTTTGTCAACAGGTTTTTTAGGAATAGCTGCTGGATGACAATTTATAACATAACCAAAGTAAAGCGCACGCTCTGATTGGTCAATTAAGTGCCCCCCATTTGCCCATGGGTGTACGCTTCTGATGTGAGCAAATGCAAAGACCATTTTTCTGCGCTTGCTTGTTTTTTCTGGTCACGTAAGATTTGTTAAATGAAAGGGAACTCTTTAGCTACAATGTATCAATGTTATGTTATAAAACAAACGGTAAACACCACAGCATACACTATTGAGTTATGGATGCACTTCGGAGGTTTACTAAGCACTCAAGAAGCTAGAGTCACTCTCGGCTATCGCCTCAAGCGACTCTTACGCTTCTCTCGTGCTTAGCAACCTCCCCGTGTGCACCATAACTCAATATTGTAGGCTGTGGTGTTTACCATTTGTTAATTATATGGTGGTTGTTGTACAATGTAGATAGCCACTCTGAGGTTCTTTAGATACATGCTGGCTCATCATGCATTGGAAAATAAATGTTTAAATCTTAAAATCTTCAATTATTAGTAACTAAAGAACTGCCTGTGCATGTTGTCCTTTTAATTCATTTCCAGGTTTGTTTCTCTTACTGTTTATCCTATCAACTATACCTCTTAAATCAGTAATGACCATTAAAAAGGTATCATGTAGTGAAGAGAATAGAATAAAATTATTTTTTACATAACTTGTATGTGTAAAGATGTCCAGTGGTAAAGATGGTAATTTTGTTTGATGAGCAAAAGTAGCTGTATTTGGGAAAAGTTCATCTGTAATAGGTCTCTCACAAGCAAAATCTAGTGCAACTCTCTCAACCAATTAATGGTACATTTAAATGTACATGTTTAAAGGTAATATTTGCTTGGTTGCTAAGTAGAAGTTCCCCTGTACGTACATTGTATTCATTCTCGTCAACTTATTGTGGCATTTTTCATTTTGCGTTTCGTTGTCGGGACAATTTACACCTGTACTTCAGGTTTTGTTTTTTGTAACACTTTTATATTGATGAAAAAGCACTTGACCTAACTTAAGTGTTTGCAAGAAATTTGTATAACTCTACACATGTGAATTGTGTTGTTTTAAATACAATTAAGTTGTTCTGAAATCACATCAATTTTACAGCAGCAAGTGTGTGTTATGTCACTTTAAACATGTGTGTAAAATGTTTTGTTGGTCATTTCTTTAACAGTTCCACCAGAATTCAGAAGCAGTAGTGGTGACAAAGTAGTTGTTGAGGGTACTGACCCCAGTGATATAACATTGGAGTGTAATGCAGATGGTGAACCAACACCAAACATCACCTGGACCAAAGTATATGATAATGGAAGTGACAGTGGTGTACTGGAAACTAAAAATCAGTTTGTCCTTGCAAACAACAGAACTAGCAGTGGAACATATCGCTGTACAGCATATAATGGAATAGGAACTGCACCAAATCGTACAGTTAAAGTAGAAGTTAACTGTAAGTAGATAAACTGTATGTTGTACTTTAAATTTGGTGTCTATCTTTTATAGACTGTAGGCTGGAATGATTGTCATAGTTAAAATAACACAAAATAAAACTCAAAAAAGGAAAAGAAGACTTGTAAATTAACCTCAGAGAAAAGTGAATATTTACTTTTTATGATGGTATAACCATGTGGGCACTTGAATAAAAAAACTAAATAATGTTATTCAAATAGAGGGTGATAATGCAGGCAGGGTGTTAAAAAAAACTCTGCAGTGTAGTATGAGGCATTGTGAAACGAAAAGAACCGAAACAAAATTAAAATCTGTAATGTGCCAAATGGAAATCTGTAATTTTATAACTTTGAGCAATTTTGCAAGTTATGTGTTCAGATTTCTCTTGGCAAATAACAGATTTTAATTTTGTCTCATTTTGTTTTGTGAATTTCAGTATGCAATAAAAGCTGCATGTCAGAAAAAAAAAAAAGAAAAGGAAAGGAAAGGAGGAGCAAGCAAATGCCATGTGACAATAGACTTAACAGAAAAATGTTTGCCTCTTGGGTTTAAAGTACATGTATGGACAGTTTGCCCATCCCCTCCCCGTCAATTTAAGGATGTGTGGCATTGTTACATGCTCTGATACTGATGCATGATCAAATCTTTTTTTTTTTTTTTATCTTTAGTTAAACCAGAGAATGTCAAGTTAGTGGTGAATGACTCAACTCTCTGTGAAGGTGATGTCATCAGCATCACTTGCTCAGCTGATGGTAAACCTGCAGTGCACAGTTATCAACTATTTGAGAATGGAATACAAGTTAATGATGGAAACAGCTCAGCTGGGGTATGGATAAGGAAAGATTTGAAAGAAGGAGACTTAAGCTATAGATGTGAGGCTAATAACACTATTGATACAACTGGGAAAACTGTCAATGTCACAGTGAAAGGTAGAGTGTATGAATGTAGCTGTTAAGCATAGTGAGGGCTTGAAATGAATGGTAGCTAAGTAGCCACAGACTACAAGAAATTCAGGTTTGACTAAGGTCTTTTTTTATTTCTACCAGCCAGTTTGGCTAGTAAACAGACTGAAATTGTTGTAACATTAAAGTTGTCATTTTCCACTTGGCTAGTAAGTTGAAAAGTTAGTGTCAAGCTCTGAGTGATAGTCTCCTCAATTAGCTAATCCACAGCTAAAAACATTGACACATTAATAAAATTTTCATTCATTCGTTCATTCACTGTTGCGTTATATGAGAATACAGGTACTTGTAGCCTGTGGTTTAGATCATAAGTGAGCCTGCTAGAAAAGAGATCGACATGAACTAACAATAGTTGCATCATTTTCATCCCAGTGTTTTGCAATTGTGGCTGAAATGCATGTGCACAGCCAAAAATTGCCTTTTTCTTAAACAGTAAATTTAGCAAGAAGCTTAGCTCTTACTGAAAATCCTCATAAAGGAAAAATAAGAAAAGAAATTAGAACATACCGGAGTCTTGGGATAAGAAACATGTAATCAGAAAAGTCAGACACAAATCTAGATATTTACTTTGAATTCTTCTGTTGTTTTTTAATGTAATGATGTACTTTCTTTAATGTTGAACCCATTAAAATATATTCTTTTGTGTGGAATGAACTCAAACTGCAGGACTTCTTCATTTCTTAAGAATGCCTTTGCATTATGAAAATGTATATGTATAGCTATAAAAATAAAATTTGATGAGTGTGTAGTTTCCTTTAATTTACACTGTCTAGTAATTTTTTTTTTTATATCTTTTCCTCTGTGCAGTTCCCTCTAAAGTTTATCCATTGGAGAACATCACCGTTATAGAGGGTGAAAACAGGACTTTAGTCTGTAATGTTTCTGGAAGTCCTTTGCTGGATGTAACATGGACAGAAGTTAACCCTGGAAGTCAGTCCAATGTAAAAAACATGCTTTATCTCACAAACATCAGCAGGAATGATGCTGGTGAATACAAATGTAAAGCTACAAATGACTGTGGAAATAGCTCTGCCAGCACTTTTCTCACTGTTTACTGTAAGTGATTATTATTATTATTATTAGTGATCTATGTGTGAGATTCCTGCGCTGTGAGGCACCTCTCTTTCTTTTCTCAAGCTTGTTTTGATACTATTATTTATAGAGTAAGAAGCACTAGGGAGGCTGCATTGTTTTACTTCCTTGAAAACTGAATACAGAAGTCAGAATACACAATATTATGTGTACTAGTTGTGGAATTTCTTTTTAAGAATTAAATTTGATATAATTATTGAGTTCAACTTGGGTAATAGAAATTCATATCTGCAAGCAACCATGCAAGAAAATTTTGACAAACTACCTAGGATTGAGAATGGTGAGTGCTTTGTTATTCATTCGTCAACCTGACAGGGAGGCACAAAAGGCGAGTGACATGTCAGCAGCTGATAGGTGATATCAAACAAAGAAAAAAATTGTGTCATTTTTCACATGGAAAGTTACGGCTTTCCTTGGTGCTGGAGATTGTTGTAAAATCCCGAAGTTAATATATTAATTTTTAAGGAGATTTTCTACCCAACAGTTTTGGAAAACCCTGTGTGATAGGTATAATGCAATGACCTGTGACACTATTTCTGATTCAATTCTTACAGATAAACCGGAGAATTTCAAGTTCACAGTGAGTAAATCAACTGTGTGCCAGGGCACTGTGGTCACCTTCAACTGTTCAGCAGATGGAATTCCCCTGGTGGATACCTATCAGTTGTTAGAGAATGATAAACCTGTGAGTGATGGCAGCAACCGTCTTGGAATGTGGACCAGGAATATGTCAACTGGAGGAGTGTTCAAGTACAAATGCATGGCAAACAACTCTGCAGGAACAGCATACAGTATGAGAACTGTTACTGTAAATGGTGAGCAACTAATTCCATGTACAATATATGATTATCATGATTATGACATTTTTAAAAACAGTCAGTCAGTCATTCATCTTATACAGAAAGTACATGTATTTGTTTCTAACCACAATTAAGTCAAGGATAGGATTCTGGATGGCTGAGATGCTCAAGAAACAATTAAACAAATTACTTTTAGTGTATGTACAGTGTATGTTGTCTAATTTCTTGCTCTCTCTTTCCATGATTTCTATGTGGCATTTTGTTACACTCACACTAGAAGCTTATCAGTAATATGTGGAAAATGAGGTTGCAGCTACATTGTACTTTATTTCAGTGACTAATAATTGCCTCGGGAGGGAATTTTTTTTTTGTAGAGTTAGTGCCCAACTGACAATGCTGGACCAAAGTGCAAATGCTGTGTTAGTTACTTTGTAAGGCAGACTGTGCTTGTTATCACAGCTTGGCAAGTGGTCCAGGAGTAAACCACAAGCACATACCCACTAATCTCTTTTTAGTACTGTAACTGTGAAAAAGTACAACCCCTCCACAAATTAAGTTTAGTCAGAAAATTCCGTGAAGGAGGACCTACAAAGCACACCTACTAAGATGGAGTGCACTCTAATGCTGCAAAGGTCCCTCTTCCAGAGAGAGTCTCTCTCCAGGGGCTCTGACTGTCATTGGGTAAATTATCCTAGCACACTGAAGATCACTCTCATAATTGCTGCTTTAACTGCAGTTCACATACATGATTTCACATGTTACAAATGTTGACTCTACTTTGCTGGCTTATTATGAACCAACATAATGATCAGCTCCCAGTTGGCTTGTTAGCTCAGTTGGTAGAGCACTGCACCAGTATTGCAGAGGTCACGGGTTCAAATCGCATACGGGCCTGAATTTTTTGCAGGCCTTACTTTCACTACTGCTTTAAAGTAGTGGTCATTACTGCAAAGATCACTCTCATACTTATTTCTTTAACTGCATTTCACATAAATTATGTGATTTTCATATATTCACAAACATTGACACCAACAGTTCCTTTCAAGTTTCACTACTGCTGTCCATTTGCCTTTGACTTGACAATCATGATTGCTGGGAATGTCCATGTCGGAATTATTATCATGTAACTGTGTGTACAATTGTCTAAAAACAGTCGGTGCTTTCGGTAAAATCCAACACATGGTTTAGCAAAAAAATTAAAAAATTAAAAAAAAAATCGTGTTAGGCTGCCATACAAAACTCTAGTAGAGTTGTGGATTGCAAAATCCTAAAGAATTAGGATCAATAATTTGGGTTACTGAGTTGTTGTTATTCCCATGTTCATGTCAAACTGTAAATAACTATGTTGTTCATTTGTTTTAATATTACAGTATCCTCATCCATACAAGAAATATTAGATCAAAATGTAACTGAAGGAAACAACTTGACTCTGACATGTAATGTATCTGGAATCCCAACACCTGTGGTGTCTTGGATTAAGCCTGATGGTCAGAGGTTTAATGAAAGTGTGTTGGAGCTTTTGAAAGTTAGTAGGAATCAAAGTGGGACGTACAGATGTGAAGCCAGTAATGACTGTGGCAATGCAGTGAAGACAGCAAGCGTTGAAGTGCAATGTAAGCAAAAGTTATCCTTTACCTGTTATTAATTTTCATGTATTTCTGTGTCTTAGCATAACAATTTGCCTGTCAGTGTTGCTGTATTGTTGGACAGACTTGTTATGTGCTAGACTCAAAAGCATCACTGAGGACTTTCCTAAAAGTGGGTGAATGCTAATTTGTTTATTGCGATTGATCAATGAAAAAAGGAACTCATACTTGAGTTGCAGTCACAGTAAGCTAAAATTAAGGGTTTTCCAAGGGCTATAATATACTGTATACATAACTGTTGTTATGTAGACAAAAAAAAATTAACATTTCAAGAATGATTAGGCAAACTGAAAAGCTATTTAAGGCCAAAAACCCTCAAGCTAAGCAAATGATAAGAGCCCTAGGCACCTGTTGAACTGGCTCAAAGTTTACTTTCCCTCAAACACCTGTAGCTTTAAAATAAAGCTTTAACACACAAGCAGTATTTTGAACACTGCATGTAGTGAGAAATGTCAGGGATACACAAATGTCAGTATTCCATCAGCTATGGATAAAGAAGGTGACCCCCTTGGCTACTTTAAATATCTAAATGTAACTTACAATGGCCAAAGAAGGTATACTTATAAATTGTCTCTTTCTTCCGCAGACAAACCAGAGAATGTCCAGCTAATGAGTTCTGCCACCAACTACAAAGCATGTAGGGGAGATGTCATTAGCTTTAACTGCTCGGCTGATGCTAATCCAGCAGTGGTATCATACCAGCTGTTTGAGAACGAAACTGCTATTTTAAACACTAGTGCCACAGGAATGTGGAGCAAGACTTTGGAAAATGAAGGAGTGTTTCTCTACAAATGTGTGGCTCATAACAAGCCGGGATCAATGTACAGTACAAATGTCATGCTAACAGTCAATGGTAATTTCTTTGAATTTTATCACTTTTAATCAACTTTTAGCCAGTTTGCTCCTATAAGACATATTTCAAAGTACAAGACTTAGTTCACAAGTGATCATCCTATATAAATGTCCCATCATACAAAGAAGTGATCATCACTTAGTAAATCTTGTTCTAAATTATGTTTCCAATTTCATGAAATTGTACCATAGTTTTATTTAGTTATATTATTTTATTTATGAACTTTTGTTTCAAGCCCTATTTCACCTTACACCTGTCTATGAAAAGTGAACTTATGTAAAACCACACAAACAAATAGTCCATTGTACAGTTGCTTGTCTTGTTACCAAGCCTTTGAACAGGAGTGAGGCTTAGGGTGACCTAATGTCAGGATACAAATGTTGCTACTCATAAAATGTAAATTACTTTGTTATTATACTACTGGAACCAGATACTGGTCTCTATCACAACAATGCCACCTTTACCCTCACTCTGAATCAAAGGCTTGGCAACCAAGTACACAACTGTTAAATGACCTACTCCATGAGAATGATGCAGAATATTATTTTGAAAAAGGGAGCAGTTTCCATAATTACACAATTAATATTTTGCTCTGAGGAATTGTTTATGCTCAAAATGTCAGCTCTAGAAACTCTTTACACAGGTCAATCTACATCATTTATCAACCCAGTTGATAAAAGAAAAGTATCTTGTAGTACCCTCCACTCACACATCACCACAGTTTCTTCAGATACTTTCCCCTTTTATCAATCAACATAAATTATAACATAGCTTGTAATTTCGTGCAATCAAATTCAATATCATAAGTGAGCTTCATTTACCCATTGTGCATGCTGGTGACATCAGCAAACAAATGCCTTGCAAAAAAATGTTTTCTCGCGAGTGATCTCAGCATTTTTCATTGAAAAACGTGAAAAACTTCCGCTAAAAAGATAAACTAGAGAAGGCAATAATCAAACAAGCCAATGAAGATCTGTGTACTTTTTCTTTGGGGATGGATTTTTTAACTCCCGAGAAAGAACCCAGAGAAAGGGAAAACAGAAAACAATCAATGCTGGTTTCTTCTTGTTTTGCAACTCTAAGTTCATTTACATGCATGAATCACCTGTCAGTTTTTGATCAATCTAAGATGAGGTCACTGAAGCATAGAAAAATAATTTTCTAAAATAAAATAAACAACACATTGAGACGTAGGAGAGGGAGTTTCTGCCCTTTATACATAAACTACTGCGTTAAAAATGTTATAAAACAATTGGTTCATTGTGTTAGCTGCAAATTCATCCAAGATTGAAGCACTTGGGAAGTTTGGAGAGCACTCAAGAAGCTAGAGTCAATTACAAGAACTTTGACACTTAAGAGCTGATGTAGAGACTCGATGGCCATATGGGAAATGTTCGCTTAGAATAATGCTCAGAATGATGTTTGGCTAAAGTGACCAGCTGCTATATGTATTTAAACCTTTCATCATTTTCACTCTTCATTTTACAGTACCTTCTTCAATTATCCAAATAACACAACATCAGAGTGTAACTGAGGGTGACAATGTGACTCTCTTGTGTAATGTATCTGGAGTGCCCCCACCAATGGTGTATTGGGTGAAACCTAATGGTAGCCGTAATGAGGGATTGAAGTTGGAAGTTAAAAATGTTAAGAGGAAAGAAGCTGGTGAATACAAGTGTGAAGCCAGTAATGAGTGTGGCAATTCAACCAAGATGACAAGAATTGATGTGCAGTGTAAGTACATGTAAAAGTTGTCCCATGTTACTTGTTGCTTCTTGTATGTCTTTATCACAGTATATCAATTTGTTATACTTAGTATTTCAATTTTTCGTTGGAGAGACCTGTTTTTGTGAAGCTTACGATATGACTCAAAAGCATCACTGAAACTTTTTTTCCTATTCCTTAAAAGTGGGTGAATAGTAATTGGCTAATTTCGATCAAACAATGAAAAATGGAACTCATATTTGAGATGTAGGCACAGTAAGCTAAAATGAAGGGTTTCCCAAGAGGCTGTAACGTTGCTCTGATAGCAT